CACATGATGGTGCTGAGTTACATAATATGAAGTTTTAGATATGGAGTCCTAGAATGGAGAAGACAGGTGTCAGTTATGCAGTTGCATCCTGTGCTGTGATTTTTTTTGTTGTGGTTAATTGATATAGGTCAGCAACTGACCTTCCCAGCCCTCCCCAGTGGGATAACCTCACAGCTGCCATTGTTTGTTGTTTTTTTTTTTTTTTTGTACTCAGGATTGAACTCAGGACCTTGCACAGCTGCCATTCTTAAGCTAGAATTTCAGCTTTTCTAAAGGAACAGTGTCCCTCCACTTGTAAACCTAAGCAGTCAGTCCTTCTATCCTTGGAACTTCCCCTCTTTCTCTGTATACCTACCCAGAATAAGGTTTGCAGCACCTACATTCCTTCTAGATGAGAATTACAGCTCTGCTCACTTCACCGCACTCCATTATCTTGTCTTCATGGTTTCCTTTGAAACCTAGTCCTTTAGCCAGGAGCAAGATAACTTCTTCACTAATATTCCCCATATATAATAATACCCATGTTGAGATTTGTCCTTAAATGGGTTGGTAAATTGCTGGGTGTAGTTGCACAAGCTTGTAAACCCAGCATTAGATAGGCTGAGACAGGAGGATTGTGCGTTTGAGGGCATGCTGAGTTACACAGTGAGTTCAAGGCCAGTCTGAATTACATAGCAAGACTGTCTCCAAAAAAAGTATAATCAGGGCCGGGGGGATGGCTCAGTGGAATAAGCGCTTCCCTGGCAAGCACAAGTTCAATCCCTGGTTCCGCAAAAAAAAAGTATGATCAATACAAAGTGTTTAACAGCATGCTTACCATAGAACAAATGCTCTGCACTGTGGCTATTGCCATTATTTTGAATTCTAGTCAACTTACTCTTTAGCATACATCTTCAAGTATAGAAGCTTTTCTTAGCAGTTTAACATTTTCAGTTCTCTAGAAGGTGAGCACAACCCAGGAGCTTGACAGAGTTGTCCAGCGTTTCTCTCCTAGCTTTTACACACACAGGAGAACACTGCTCATCACACACACACACACACCGCCTAGGCCACCCTCCCACAGACTGGACTTTTGACATCCAACCAAGATACCAACACACCGTGGTGCCTCAGTTCACAAACTTTAATAGTCCAGTGATTCAGGAAAACATGATCAAAGTACTCAGTGGTCTATTACTCAAAATGCAGAATTCTGTGGGTTTTGTTTGGTTTTTTCTTTTTTTAGTGAAGGTAGATGATTAAATTTGATGATAGCCTTATACTATGTTATTTCAGCAGAGCAGACCAAACATTTTGACTAAGGATTTCAGGAACTTCTAATTCAGTTATTCACTATTTCATAAGGTTTCAAATTAGAGCCCAGCCTGGTCAATATCTTTTTGGTCTTTTCTGGACTTACAGTTATATTATGTCTTTATGTGGCTAAGTTTTAAAATCCTGATGAACTGTCTACAGAGAAGCCTGATTGATAACCACGTTCTTAGATTTGAAAGCACCATAGTTATACACCTGCTGTGTGAACTTTTCATTCTTTTTTTTTTTTTGGCGGAACCAGGGATTGAACTCAGGCCCTTGCGCTTGCCAGGGAAGCACTTATTCTACTGAGCCATCTCCCCAGCCTTTTTGAACTTTTCATTCTTCTAGCAAACATACTATTGGGTTGAGTGCGTGTGTGTGTGATGAGTGTGAGCAGTACAAAAGAGTGATTGTTCTTTAAGCATACATGCAACGTGATCATAAGCTACAGTGAATGTTTAAATGTTTGAAAATTATCAAAAGACACTGCCATTAATCTACAGAGCACTCCTGCTCACACTGCACATGCGTAGCCCATCGTTCTTGCCACTTTTTGCAGCAGCTCTGGAAATCCTCTTTCATGAATATCATGAGTTGCACTCTTGTAGCTGCCTTGATGTCCTGCATTGATCACAACATGGTGCCTTTCCTTGTCATTGTGACTTGGGGTAAAGGCAGCACTCACTTTGTGCCAGATCTAGTGACTAAGGTTATGAGGACATGCTGTGTAACATGACCCTAGCTGGCTTTCCACAGGATGGTACTCAGCATGGCATTCATAGATCAATCTAGTAAAGGCATGAAAGGTGACTTCCACAACTGATTGGAAAAGTGGCAAGAAAGTGGGTGCCACTCAGAGCAAGACGTGCACTAAGGGAAAATGCCAGGCTTGTACTGTAAGACATATTTTTAGTTTTAAATATTTTACCATACATTTGGATCCCCAGCTTATCATTTCTGTAACACAGTAGAAACTTTATTATTTCTGCTGATTAATAAAATAATAATGTAAAATTACTTTTACCTGGGCCTGGTACTGCACATCTGTAGTTCCAGCACTTAGTAAGCGCCTCCCTCGCAAGTGCAAGGACCTGAGTTCAATCCCTGGTTCCGCCAAAAAAAAAAAAAAAGCCTTAAAAAAATCCAGCACTTAGGAGGGCAGGTAGATCACTGAGTTCAAGGCCATCCTGAGCTACATAATGACTGTCTGAAAAAGAATTTTTTAAATTACTGGATAAGGGGGCTGGGGAGATAGCTCAGTAGAATAAGTGCTTGCCAGGTAAGCGTAAGGGCCTGAGTTAATCCCCAGTTCCACAATAAATAAATAAATTACTGAATAAGAAAAGGAAATTGTCACACTCTACAATACAGACATATATTGAAGACATTATGCTAAGAAAATAAACCAGACATAAAAATACTCATATTTAGCCATGCATGGTGGTGCATGCCTATAATCCTGGCACTGGAGAGGCTGAGGCAGGAGAATGTCCACATGTTCAAGGCTAGCCTGAACTGCATAGTGGGACCATTTTTTTTGTTTTGTTTTTCTAAATTCATAGGGATGGGGGCCTGGGAGATGGCTCAGTGGAATAAGCACTTCCCTGGCAAGCGCAAGGGCCTGAGTTCAATCCCCGGTTCTGCCCCCCAATAAATAAATAAATAAATAAATTCATAGGGCTGTCAAGTGGTATGGTGGCTACAGGGTACCGGGAATCCAGCTTAATGTTCACTTCATGTGGAGTTTTAAGTTTGGGAAAATTAAGAGCTCTGGAATGCTCAGTGGTGATAACTTGTGCCAGTGGGCATCTACCTAACGCCATTGCCCTATGTGCATAGAAAGGAAGAAAGTGGTACAGTTCACACTACACTGATTTTATGATTTTAAAATTGTTGCCCAGGTTGGGGAGATAGGTCAGTGGTCTAAGCGCCTGCCTGGCAAGTGCAAGGACCAGAGTTCAGTCCCTGGTACTACATGATGTGTCAACCATGGAACCCTGGGCACACTGTGCCAGTCACTGTGGTGGCACATGCCTGTAATCTAGCACAGGGAGGCTGAGACAGGAGGATCGCTGAGTCCAGGCTGCATAGTGAGACCCTGTACCAGATAAATAAAAGATTAAAAATAAATTTTAATTGTTACCCACAGTATAGTATACACAGGGACATCTGGAAGAGGCACCCAAGTTAAACAGCAAGCTCACTATATGTCCTGAAAGCAATTTTATGCAGTATTTTCAGTGTACCTGCGCTTTTTTTTTTTTTTTTTTTTCAGAACCAGGGATTGAACTCAGGCCCTTGCGCTTGCCAGGGAAGCACTTATTCCACTGAGCCATCTCCCCAGCCCCATACCTGCATTTTATTTACTTACTTATTTTATATATATATATATTGTATATATATTTGGTACAGGGTGTTACTATGCAACTCAGACTCAATAGTGATCCTCCTGTTTCAGCCTCCCCACTGCTGGGATCACAGGCACATGCCACCACACCCGGTGTTGGTGACCAGCTTAGTATGCTCGGGGAAGGGCCAGCACAGTATGTGGTGCTGGGGATTGAACCAGGGTCCTTGCTCTTGCCTAGGCAGATGCTTAGACCATGGAGCCATCTCTGCGGCCTGCACCTGCATTGTTGACTGCAGTCTATTACATCTGGCCAGGTGGGACATTTACATCTATGATATAGCTAGGATTAAGTCAAGACAGGGTGACTCCAGAGTTTGTAGTTGCATTAAGTTAACATCTAGTTTATTTAAAATAATCACAGGTTGTTATTTTTTTGTTTGTTTGTTTGTTTGTTTGCTTTTGTTTTTGTTTATTTATTTGTGTGTGTGTGGCCAGCTCAGCCCACCAGGGGGCGGGGCTGGCAGGCATGTGATGCTGAGGGATTGAACCGTGGTCCCTGTGCTTTGCCAAGCCTGCTCTAGTAGGTGCTTCAGACCACTGAGCCATCTCACCAGCCCTGTTATTTGCTGAATCTATACTTCCGATTTGATTTGAAACCGTCTCATTGCTGTTTATCAACAAAATTTTGGAGGGAAATAAATAAATAAAATAATCACAGGTTAACCCTGTTATGGTGGCACAAGCCTTTTATCCCTGCTACTTGGGAGGCAGAGGGTGGAGAATCATCAATTTGAGACCACCCTGTGCAGTTTAGCAAGATTGTATCAGAATCACAGGGGCTCGGGAAAGGGTTGGAAGCAGATGTCCGTTTTGCTCACAAGGACCACCACATATCTGAGGGGCAGCAGCCAAGTGAGGCCGGTGTACCCTCCTCCAGAGCCAGGGCTCAGTCGACCTAGGCTGGTCCAGCACAGGGCTCTCCTCTAACAGTGGGGCTGCCCTTATGTTCCTCCTCAAACAGAGGGAGTGTCTGAAAACCTTACACTGTGGGCACCTGAGCTGTGGTTTCTTTTTCCTATTAATGTGAAAAGGAGAGACTTTATATATGAGGCTCTGCATTCGATTCCTGGCACCAAAAAAAATAAGAGTGCTAGTGGTATAAGTCTTCATGAACTGTGGCTCATAGCTGTCCATGGCAGTGGCAGTGCATGCCTGTAATCCCAGCACTCAGGAGGCAGAGGTAGGAGCTTCACTGCAGGATTGAGGCCAGCCTGGACCACACAGGAAGACTTTATCTTAAAAAAAAAAAAAAAAAGAAACAGACAAGCTCCTGGGCTGGGCAGAAACTGAACAGTAGAGCACTTTTGTAGCATAAAACATGAGCTTTTGCCTGGTGTAGAGCTCACACCTGTAATCTCAAGACTTAACAGGCTGAAGAGGAGTGATTGCAAGGTCATGGCCAACATACCCTGCATGACAAGGCCTACGTTAGCCTGAATGATGTAGCAACAGCCCTGTCTGTGCATGTGTGCTCCTGTGTGGTGACTCAACCAGTATCTTATCTGTGCCTCAGTTTTCAGAGAAAACATTGAATGATGAGAATCCTGAATATGCCTACCAAATATTTTTAGTTGGTCCATTTTGTTTTTCTTTTGTTTATTCAGTGTTGGGGATTGAACCCAGGGGGTTTTGCACTGAGCCCCACCTCAGTCCCCCCCCATTATCCCCCCCCCCCGTGCCCCCACCAGCTCTTTTAATTTTTAATTTAGAGGCAGGTCTCATCACATTGATCAAACTAGGAATCCTCCTGCCTCAGCCTCCCAGAGTACTGGAGTTATAGGCATGTACCTCCAAACCTAACTTCTTTTTTTTATTTCCTTATTTTAACTGTATAGCTATAGCTTCTCCCTTTCTGGGATTATAAACATAGTTTTTTGTGTTTTGCTTTATTTTTTGTTGTTTTGTTTTGTTGACTGGGGATTGAAATCAGGACCTTTCACTTGCCAGGCAGATGCTTATTCTACTGTGCTACCTCCCCAGCCCTAAACTTAGTTCTTATGAACAGCAAATGTTACCTGAGAGAGCTGACATTCTGCCCATATTTTCCTGAGCCTGTTCAGGATCAATCAGATCCCCGTTAGTGACACAGGATAGATTCGTGTATATGGCGCCTTATGCCCCCTCACAACCAGCATTGCAGGTATAACTGGTAAGGGGACTGCACCACCAGCCTGTCAGCCCAAAGCAGGTGCAACCTGCAGCCCTGGAGCCTTGCACTGGCTCTGCAGAGGCATTGGGCACTGGGTTTGTTGTGATGGAGGTGGACCTGCTTCCTTCTCAGATACCACTCTGTCACTCCACCTGCCAGGCTACCATACCCCTCCCCTTGGGGACAGGCATTTCCCACCCACTCACAAGCTCTGCATAGCATCTGTTCAAAGCCTCCCTATCCCCAGGGCTCCAATATGTCCATCGGAGACTAGCAGCTCCCCGGGCAGCCCCTCTGCTCCCACCGCCAGCAAAACCTCCAGCAAACGTGTCCAGTCTTAGCCCTGGTGTATAGTACATTAAGTTCTTGTTTTGTTTGCTTAAGTTTTTGCACTAATGGAGATCAAACCCAGAACCATGCACATGTAGAACCATGCACATGTCAGACAAGCACTCTTCCTCTGAACTACATAGAAAGCCTAAATATTTGTTACTGCTATTGAGCTGGCTTTTGGTTTCTTAAGAGAGGGTTATGCTGTACAATCCGGTTTGGCCTCAAACTTTCTCTGCTCCTGCCTCAGCCTCCTGAGCACTGAGATGACTGGTGTGCACTACCACACCTGGCCCTAAATTATCATGAAAACCATTTCTTAGGACCAAATGTAGGCCTGCCACAGTCTGGATAACTTACATTTGTTACTCAATTTGGATAAGCTTATGATAGGTATTACCTCTAGAGCCATTGTAACCCAAATCACTTCTGATCCATGGAAGTAGTAACATTCTAGAGGCTGAGGCAGGAGGACTGGTTGGAGGTTTGATCTCAGCCTGGCTGGAAGTGTAGCTTAGTGGAGAGGAGAATTTGACTGTCAGTTGGAGTGATGGGGAACCTATGGCAGGCGTGCTGCAGCAGACTGCTGCGTCACTGAGCACTCAGCAGGCTCTCCACCGCTGCTCCCTTGGGTAAGTGTCCAGTGTTCTCATTTCTGGAGTCACGTTTGACTTAATGCATGGAAGTGTTCAAGAGTCTTGAAATTTTTCTCAGGCAAAGAATTTACTGAGAAAGTGCATAGACCAGGTTGCTTCACATCCAGTGGGTTTGCAGCTTAGAATTGTAGAAGGCTGTGTGTGTCTGCCCTCTGTGTTAAATGACAGACCTTAACTAAGAAGAGTTTCTTCAGGCCTTGCTCTTAGGTCAGCCACGAAAGTGTGCTTCCCTCCCTTCAAGTCAGAATGCCCTTGAAGAGAGAGGTTGAGGGCTTCTCTTTCTCTGTCCCCTCAGCTGCTATAGCACTGAGGCAGCTTCAGAGGTGATCTCACCTGCAAGGCGAGTGCGAAGAGCTGCTTTCCCTCCAGCCTCCACAGCGTGTTACTGCTTGATTGTTTTGGTCATGGCCATTCTTTCAACCCAGAGTATAAATTAAGAGTAAAAATAAGGATAGCTATTGGGAAGCAGAAAAAAAACATTTTGAAATGTTCAAGGAGAACAAGTGATAGGGAAGTATGGAAGGGAAAAGATCAGAAAAACAAAAGAATTGAAGGAAAAAATAGAAGTGGAACTTCTGAAAGTGGGGAGGAGAGGGAAAAAGCAAACCTAAAGTAAAATAAAAGCTCTTGATAAAAGTGAGTTTTTATCAAAAGAGGAAATTTATAGCTGGGCATGGTGCTGCTCACCTGTGATCCCAGGAGAGCCTGAGACAGGAGGATCGCTGCCAGTTTGAAGCCAGCTGGCTTATGTAGTGAGTTCAAAGCCAGCCTGAATAGCAGAGTGAGACCCTGTATTTATATTAATGTGTATGAAATTTTTATTTTTATTTTTATTTATTTGTGTGTGTGTGTGTGTGTGTGTGTGTGTGTGTGTGTGTGTGTGTGTGTCCAGCTCAGCCCACCAGGGGGCGGGGCTGGCTGGCATGTGGTGCTGGGGGATTGAACCGTGGTCCCTGTGCTTTGCTAAGCTTGTTCTAAGTAGGTACTTTAGACCACTGAGCCATCTCACCAGCCCTGTATGAAATTTTTAGAATCGAAGTATACAGAAATAATGGCAGTTCACTTTGGGACACAGAATCAAGTCCAGGAAATTCCTCGGTGGCCTGTGAGAGCAGCCAGCCAAGCAGACTCAGAACTAGGAGGGGAGAGTTTCCCAAACATGGAGGAAGCAGCAAGTGTTTATTGTAACTAATTCTGTTTCTGAGAATCTTAATAATCACTTAGTTTTTTAGCCAAGTATAGCCTTTATAAAATGTATAAAGGGCCAGGCGTGGTGGTGCAAACTGTGATCTACCGCACTCAAGAACTAAAGGAGGGGGATTATTTAGTTTGAGGCCAGGCTGGACTACACAGTGACACCTTGTCTTATGTTAAAAATATATATATATATAGAATGTATGAAAAGGGAATGCTGAGTGTGAGGTGTGCTGCAGCTGCCCCCAGCTTGTCTGGCTCCTCCCTGGGAAGATGGAGCAGAGAACTGGCATCTACCCTGGCTTCCCAGGGGGCCCATACTCTGACTAGCATGCTGCCTGGTGGACAGCACTGAGCTGTATAGTCTTGCTTTTGTTTATTTCTTTGTTTTTTTTAATCCTAAAATACATTTGTTTACCAAGTCCATAGCCAGAACTTACTTTCCCAGGAAGCATCCAGTATTTTTTCCTGTGATAATCAATTTTTGAAAGTAAAGATGAATAAAATTATTTCAAGTTAAATAGTTAGCTTTATAAAGCAGGTAGGACCCTGGCTAGCTATGTGTAATGAGAGCAAAAACCTTCACTGGTGTTTTATTTTTATACAGGAAAGATTCCTTAGACATGGGGAAAGTACCAGGTGGAAAAAGGAACAGAAGATTTTAAGGCTTTAGGTAACTATAGATAGGAAATTATTCCAGTGAGGTTTTCTAACTTTGCCTTCTCCTCCTCCCATCCCCAAGGTAAAAGACAACTCATTTGCAGAGGGAAAAATGAAGGCCCAACAGAAGTGTTTGCAGCTTCTGCGAAGACTTGCATTCGGAATGTCCCTACAGAACATGGAGTTCACTTACGAACACACCCTCCGCCTTGCAGACTGAGAGAAGCCCCGCTCCCTCTCCCCGAGGCAGAGCCCGGGAGGAAATGTGCAGCGAGAGCGCTCACAACAGAGGCTCAAAGCAGCTCTGCACTCCCCTAGACTTTTCCCAGGAAAAGTCAATAATTAAGCAAATTGCTTAACACTTGGTTCCAGTTCCTGCATATCTGGAGTTTAAATGCATAATACATCATTAATTTCCATGCTGCAGTTTTTATTTTAAAGTAACAAGATGTCCTTATATTGACACTGAAAATTCATCTATTCTAAAGCCAGGAATTTCCATGTCACACAAGAAAATAGAAGTCTACTGAATTTTTTTTTAGAAGAAAAGATCAGATTAAATATTTCTTTGTTTTTCCTTTTGGAAACTTTTATGTATAATTCTTTCTGCCTGTCTACTTTTCTGCAAAAAATGAGGTGTACAGATTTTCAGTTCCCTGCTATGAAAAGTGATGTGGTAGCAATTTTATAAATGTTGCTTTCTGATTTTTATCAGAGTGAGAAAATAATTAAAGTTATTGATTTGCAAGTAGTAAACTTCATATTTTGATTTTCCCTCCATTTTAGTTTAATATAATTTGCAACAAATGTACATATTGTGTTTCATAAAACATTAAAAAGATTTTTAGTCCCATGACCATGATGGAATATTGGAATTTTGATGAAGACTGTTCAACATTTGGTTTTACATTTGTCACCAAATTTTATTGTTAAAAAAAAAAAAAAAAAAAAAAAAAAAAAAAAAAATCATAGGAAAAAAAAAGAAAAAAAAAAAAAAAAATCAATTTTTTTTCTAACTAGTTGGACTCTGGCAGCTTTGTAAGGGAAGTTGGAGGTGTTTAGGGCCGCTCTCAATTTGCAGCTTTGTGCTATTGAGAGATATGTGTTCAGTTTTTGTCTGCTGGTCTGGGCTCAGTTCCTATCTTTATTTTAGAAACACCTATTGCAGTACATTACATTTCTTGGCATTGTCAGCATAGGCAATATGTGCACTTTTGGGTGCGCACTCATATTTAAATTTTTTTGCATAAAATAAATGCTTCTAGATATCATGACAGTCTTTTAATCTTTTTATCATATTATGCTTGTGAATTTTTTTATGTGAAAGGGCTAAACGCACAGAAACTCCACAAGTACAGTCAACTCTCCATTATCTATATTACTAGGGCTAGTGCCTGCACGTTCCCCCAGGTGCTCTAGGGGCAGCCTGGAGGGTCTCGGGCTCTGCCCCCTTCCTGCACTGCTGGCTCGAGCTCTAGTGAAGCTCTGGAGGGATGTGCGGTTTCCCTACACAAAGTACACATCTGGGTTGTAACTTAGTCTTCATAGCTGGTAATCTACATAGGATATAAAACTTAATGAAATTGTACAAAAAGGAAGGTTAATAATGAAATTTTCGGCCCAGACATCCACTCCGGTAACCCTAGCATTCAGGAGACTGAGGCAGTAGCATCTCAAGTGCTAGCATCAGCTACATAGCAAGACTTGTGTCAGAAGCCAGCCACACACCAGAAGAAGGAAATGTGCAGGCTACTTGGTGGCCTGGGAGCCAAGTCGCTCAGGAGACTGATCGGAGGACTGCAAATCGAGCCTCAGCACCACAAAAAAAAAAAAAAAGACTTAATAGGAAATATCCCTGATGCTCATAGATAATCAAGAGTTGGCTGTACATTGACAGTGAAAGATGGGGTAATTCACTTAAGTCTACATATATACCCACACACATTTAGGTATCAAAAGATGATTAGGGAACGATAGACAACAGTGAAACTCTTATTAAGGAGCAGAAAAGTTCTCTTCCTGTTCATTGCCTCTTCATAACATTTTAGAAAGTACAACTACTGCCTCGCACATGCTGGACAGGAATATCTATGCAGAAGTAGCGGGAAAGCCCCTCGAGCAGTCAGTGTTGTGTGAAGTTGGGCAGAGTTGTCTTGGCATCAGGCAGCTCTTTAACTTTCTGTGGTGCCTCACAGGGCCATGCTGCCTGGGAGCTACTGCAGCCTGGGGGCCGCACAGCACTTAGCCAAAGGAGCAGGAGAAAGGAGGCTCTGTTGCCAGGTGTGGTGGCGCGCTCGAGGCCGAGGCAGGAGGATCACTGCAAGTTCGAGACCAGGCTGGGCTACAAACTGAGCTCAAGACCAGCCTGAACTACATAGCGAGACCCTATCTCAAAAAGACAAAGGGCACGCATGTGGGCTAAGTGGGGCTAAGGCAGTGGTGTCTGATTTCCCAGGAGAAGAGCTGGGTCTGGTTGTGCAGGACACAGGTGTGTGGGCACCACAGGAGGGCAAGTGAAAGGGTGGAAAGCTTAGGCTAATGGGGAAGGGCTTGTTTACAAGACCTGTCGATTTTTCCTTTGAGAAGGCAAACAAAATCTCTTAGGAATTTGGTATTCACATCTCAGAGAAATACAACACAAAAGTGCAGACTTACGTTTGAGAATTAATGTTAACCCTTTATGTCTAGGTTGAAGCTTCTTGTATTTGTCTAAAATTACAAGCCAGAATTTTGTATCTCCTTTGATAAAAAGTGTGTATAATGTAAAGTAGTTTTGCATATTCCTGTGCTGCACATGGGCTGAATTTTTAGAATTTTTTTAAAGACTTGAAGCTGAACCTTGTAATTTGTGTAAATGACAAATGTAAAATCCTACCATAAAATGCTGAAAATATGCACTGTTTCGAATAAAACCAAGAAATGCAGCATTATATAGTAGTGTGGAGCCCTGCATGTTCCTGTGCCCCTGGTCTTTGCATTCCGTGGGGAGAACTGGTGGCTGCTGGCTGCAGAACAGCCTTCCTCTCCTGCCCTGCCTGCGGGCACCATCCTGCAGTAAGGCTTGTACAAGACTAGGACAGCGGCACAGCGAGGGCCCCCGACATTGCCCCTTTCCTGCCCTCCGCGGAGAAGGCTGTGTGGAGGGAAGGGCGCTGCCGAGTTCGCGCCTTTCCCAGTCCTAGCAGTGCCATTACACCTGTCCCTTAGCAAGCACCCTCGGGGCAGCGCCCTGGCCAGCACTATGTGGGGGCAGGCCCTCCTTACACACAGCTCGTATTTGGCTTGTCTTGTTTCAAGTCTAACCACAGGGGCGGGGACTTGCATGGGGCTGGTGATCAGGCCTTCCACTGGCAGGGACTCCAGGCACCCTAGACAGTGAGCGGAGCCACACACCTATGGAATCCTGCGTGTGCTCTGAAGACCAAGGCAGGAACCTCACAAAGCACGAGCCCGAATTGGTCGAGGAAGAGCTAGTCTCAAAAGAATTAGAAAAAGGCTGAGGATGTAGTTCAATGCAAAGGTCCTGGGGTCAATCTCTGGTGTCTCCCAAAAAGCCCGTGCTAGTTGAAGGTGATTTTCTCCTCTCCATACTCCTATTTGTATCTCACAAAGACCGCCATTCCAGATAAAATTCATTCCTGTTAGTGCACACTCTTACAGCGCTTCTGAAGGCTCATGCCTGTGACCCAACCTGACTTAAAGGCTGAGGCAAGATTTCGTTTAAGGGCACCCTGGGTGGTTTCGTTTAAGGGCACCCTAGATCCTGTATCAAAAAGGATTTGAGTGGCTGAGGACTACAGCGCCCACCCAGAGTGGATGAGGGCCAGCGTTCAATCCCTCCCACACGTCATGCACGCACATAGCCGAGCCGTCACTGCAGCCCTCAGGAGCCTGCGTGGAAGGGCAAGGCCGGTGGCTTCCTACCCTGTGCAGACTGCCCACCAGCCGGGGCTGACATGCAAACCGTAGGCCTGCCACACCAAAAGGACGCAGCCGGCCCAGCAGGTCCTGCCCGCCCTGGGCTCCCAACATTCGAGAAGTAGCAAATCCACTAGCTCACGGGACGGGCCAAGGGAGCCGGCCGCCCCCAGCCCTGCTCAGCCCTTCTCCAGCCCTGTGCGCCGCTGAGGTCTCAGGCTGAGCTCCGGGAGCAAGCAGATCGCGGGGCACTGCAGCCACACCCACCCGAAGGTCCCAGGTCAGGCTTCTGTGGGACGAGCACAGCCCAGCCCAGGCACAGGACCAACAGACAGCCTCTCCTGGGCCTTCCTGCCCTCCACACTGGCTTAGTTTCTTTTCATTTTGCTGAGACAAAATACCCAATACCCTCAGGTTAAGGGAGGAAAGGCTTATTTGGGCTCAGCAGTTTCAGTCCATAAGCTCCCCATAACTTTTCTATCTTGAGAAAGGGTCTCAGTTGCTCATTGCCCAGGCTTGGCTGGAACTCAGCGAATCTTCCTGCCTCAGCCTCCAAGAGTGCTGGGATCATAGGCACATCCCACCAGGCCCAGCTGAAAACCTAGCATGCTCAGGCCTGCACTTTACAATACAGATTCAATATTCCACTTGGTTAAACTGTCAGAGTGTGCGCTCGCTCCCTTACAACCGTAGTCCAGAGGAACCACGGAGCCTTGGTTGTTTCCCAAAGGAATGGGGGCTTGTACCCCAGACCTCAGGCACGCTGGGCCTGAAGCCTGCCATTGAGCTTCACCTAGACTACAAGTCTTCTCATGACAAGTTAGAGGACCAGCTCAGAGTGGGCCTGGGAGGCTGAGGTGGAAGGATCAGGAGTTGAAGGCCAGCCCAGGTAACTTACAGACCCTATCCAAAATGTAAACATGAAAAGGACTGCTCATGTAACTCAGCACTACCTGGTTGGGAAGGCTGCCTTGGTACTTGTTTCAATCTCATGTAGCAGAAGAACAAACCAACCAGCCAGCCCTAACTCAGTTTTGATTTTGATTTTTTGTTGGCAGAACCGGGGACTGAACTCAGGCCCTTGCACTTGCCAGGGAAGCACTTACTCTACTGAGCCATCTCCCCGGCTCTCTAACTCTTCTTGAAGAGTCACTTTGTCTCTCTCTGGACACCCCTCACTGTTCCACCCATTTGGACATGAACTGCACACACCTCAGGGGGCTCACATAGGAAAGAATAAATGGGGCATACAACCAAGCAGTCTGTCAGATCCAAGGTGTTTTAGGTCCCTTTCCCAGGAGTCCTTCCTCTGAATCCTCTCCTGCCCTTGAGACAGGATCTCCCTAAATTCTGACTTGCCCAAGCTGACCTCCAACTTGCAATTCTGCTGCCTCAGCCTCCCAGGGGAGGGGATTACAGGTGTGCACCAGCACTGCCAATTCTGGTTTTAGGCCTCAAACACACCTGTTTCCCACACTGCTCTCCTGAGTCAGACCCACTGCCAGACTGCAGATGCTTCCATCCTCCATTTACCCAACTGCAACAACAGCAGCTCCTCTCGGGATACCATCCCTTGGGATCCTGTGGCTCACCAGCCCATTCCCACACTCAGTCAACCTGGACTCTACTGTGAGTTTGATTAAGAGCTACTCTGAGGGGCTGGGGAGATGGCTCAGTAGAATAAGTGCTTCCCGGACAAGCGCAAGGGCCTGAGTTCAATCCCCAGTTCCGAGGGAAAAAGAAAAAAAGAGCTATTCTGAGCAGGTATGGACTTTCTCAAGTACAGCTCAGCCTGACCTTTAATGACTATGTAACCCAAGCAGGCCTCAGTGACCCTCTTGCCTCAGCCTCCTGAGTGCAGAGATCACAGATGTGTGCCACCAGACCCAGCAATGACTGCCATTCAAGAAAAAGTGACATCCTGGCTGCTGTGTGGCAGGGGGCCCACAACGCTCCAGAACAAAAGGTCCCTATGCCAAGCGATAGTTTGGGCAGGATGCGGCAGAAGGCACCATCAGGGGAAATCAGAACCAGAATATATGCGAAAAGTGGAGCCACTGAGTTGATGACATGGCCACTCCCAGGGACCCTAGGGGGTGACTGGGGCAGCAGGCTTGGTAGAGTGGGGGTCAAGGGGGCTGCCACCCCCCATGAGGACCCCAGAAGACTCTGCAGGGAAAAGTCTGCGCCGGCAGCCACAGGGGCTCGAGTGCAAGGGCGACCTGGGATGCCGCCAACCCCATTCAATCCCAGTGCTGACGCACGCGCAAACGCATGCGCACTTACACGCGCATGTGCATACACTATGGAAGGCTTTAACATATCAATAGTGAAATGTGAATACACAGGTATGTTTCAAGGATGTAGGTGGTGAGCAGAGAACCCAG